GACGATTCCCCAACCAACAATTATTATCACTGCAAGCCAACTCATTTTTTTTAACCTGCAATCTTATTTCTGCAATAAATGCGAAACTGTGATTTTTCCAGCAATTATGAGGACGTTTTCCACTTTGCAAGAAAGAGTGATACCGTTCTTGGGTGCGGCTCTGCCAAAATTGACGCAAAAGTTGCAACACGTCGCCAAAAATCCTTCAAAACCTCATTTCAACCATTACCTGTTTGAGACGTTTTCGCTGGCTATTCGGTAAGTTTTCTTTGAAATGAGATAAAAGTTCTGAAAAAACGTATTTAAGACTTCTTTCTTATGGTAGATATTTATTGGTGACATTTTACTAAATAAATACATGTGACAAGTCAAGAAAGAAAAATGATTGATACATGATACAATTAATTGCTTTTAATAAAAAAAATTGTGAATGTTGTTTTGCCCTTATTTAATATTAGTTGATTTTATTTACACCAAGACTCCATCTAAACAAGCACTACTTAGCCAGTATTTCCATTATTTACATTGCATAGTAAGCTTTAGGTTGTGTCTTATTCTCGTTCATTTGATTGCAGAATTGTATGTAAAACAAATCAAGCAGCAGTTACATCTTTTGAAGACATACTGTTTCCGATATTCCAAGGAATTTTGCAGCAAGACATTCAGGGTGAGTTCAGTGAAACTTTTGACAGTACATGACATCTTCAAATCCACATATTCTGATACAATTTTCAGTGCTATGAGTTTTGGTTTTCCATGAAATATTTTTTCAATTTCCCTTTAAACATTTTCAAAATGGCACGCATCTCGATATCATTATTTAATTATTAAATTCGTACAATCCTTTTTGAAATACTGATTTGTCTTTACTCCCTCTAGTAGAATATGATTTTTAACTTGAATATGAAAATGAAAACCAAGTAGGTTATGAAGTTTTTAATATTTAACCATTGTAGTTCTTTCAGCATAAAATTTATTCTGGTATAATTATTTTTATTTGAGATTTTTATCATAACTTTATTTTGTAATTTTGAAAATACAGTTTCGTTGGCCGTGAACAATATAGTCGAACAATATAACAAATGAGGAAGAACGATCGTTAATATATAAAATAAATAGTAATGGACCTAATTTGCTACCCTGTGGCACACCTACCGAAATGTTTCTAATGCTGGATAATGTATATTTAATTTTAGTTCTTTGACATCTATTGATTGAATAATTTTGTAATATGTTGAACACCGAACCTTTGAATCCTTAGTAGTGCAATTTCGTTAACAATTTCTCGCTGTCAATAGTCTCAAATGCCCTCTTGAAATCCAAGAACAATGTTACTGTTTACCTTTTTTCATCCATATTTTGCTACTACCATTTGAATTGCTGTTTCAGTAGAATATTTTTTTCTGAATCCTGCTTGAAATATTGTCAATATGTTGTTTTCTTCAACATGTTCAATGATTTATTCATATATGATTCCTTCTAAGAGCTCGACATCTGGTTAGATTTTTTCTAGTCCTTATCAATCAATTAATTGTACCGACTGCGTTATATGTTATATGTGTTAGAATAATATACACTCATAAGGATACTTCCCTTTTGTGGCATATCAATTTATTCACAATTTATAATTGATGTGAATAAATACGAGGTTTGTTCAAGAAGTATCGCAAATTTTGAATTTGCGCGGCCTACGTTTGTTCGATTTTCGATCTTTTTGTGGCGTTATGTTGGTACTCATGACCCTGACTAATTTTGACAATATCGGCCATTTTGAATGTTCAGTCAGTTTTTGACAGCTATTGTGCGTGGACGTGTTTGAGCTTGTCTCCAATTTTTGTCTATTCCAAAAAATGGATCAAAGAATTTGTATTAAATTTTGTATAAAAAATAACTTGAACTGCGCGGACATATTCCAAATGTTGACTGTTGCATACGGCGAAGCTACTTTGGACAAAATAAACGTTTATCGGTGGTACAAAATGTTCACAGAGGGACAAAATAGATATCCATGAATAAATAGATAATTCTTGAAAAACATGAAATTCGCGATTTTTTGGACAAGCCTCGTATTATTATTAATTCCACCTTGGAAAGTGTTCCAACCCGCACTAGGCAACTTCGCCTTTTGCGTGCCATCTCATGTTACAGGCAAAAGATGGAAAATGTCAGTTTTTTTTAGTTTTCCATTGGAAGCAAATCCTTGTATATGATATTTTAATTCCCAATCGTTAGCTTTTAAAATAAGTAAACTGATGGCGTCAAAAAGTAATTTTTGCTTATGTCCCAATGTTAACAACAAAATTATATTAGATATAAAACACTTAACTAGTTCTAAGTAAAAGTTGCTGCATACTTGGATCTGTATAAAAATATTATACAGCAGACGCTCGATAATGTAAACTAATTTAATCCAAGTGTGGTTCACATTAGCGAACGTGATTTATATAATATTTGATTTATTAAAAGAAACGTTTAATACATACTATTTATAACAAAATAAACAAATATTCTAACAGCGATAAGTATTTTTTTAATTAGAAGAAAATAATTAACAATTTTTGTCTGCGTAAATTTGCGCTTACATTGTCTTCCAATGCCTGCGCCAGTAATTTACGAAGAACTAAAATATCCGTGTATGAAACTTCTTTTCTTTCAGCCCAATCTAAAGCTTGGTTAAAAACTTGTATAGCTTGCGCGTCAGTCACTACACTTCTGACTTCAATGGGATCGTTCTCATCATCCTCACTGTCCATATCCTCCTCCTTATCAGCATCATTCGTCTGCTTATCTTCGTTCCATAAATTAATATCAGCAGGAGTACAAACAATGTTGGGATTCACTGTTTTCAATAAATCAAAACATCCAATGACACACTAATAACATTATCATTATTGGATCGCAAACGTTCTCTAATTACGCTTAAGGACATCGTCTTCTTCATCATCTTCATTATTGGTACAAAAGAGATTGTTCCAACATTTTTAATATTTGCTGGTTAAGTTCATTCCAGGCCATATGTAAATCTAAAACAGCTTACTTTTTTTAAAGCCTCAGATAAGTTTTCAGGATTCTTTGATAAGACAGACGAAAGTAGAAACTTCCTATAGTATAGTTTGGTGAGTCTTATTATATTCTGGTCCATCGGTTGAATTAACGGTGTTACGTTGGGCGGCATGTACATGACGAAAATTGACCCATCCCTGCTCCTCAGTTGTTGCTCGGGAGGATGACTTGGTGCATTATCCAATAGTAACAACGCTTTTATTGGAAGCTTCTGTTGTTTTGGAAACCTTTTACCTACAAATTGAAAACACATCTTCAAATTATGAATAGAGCATTGTGATAATTGATTGTCATACCTGAGGGACAAAGCACCTGTGGAACCATTTCAGGAATATACTGCTAGTCATCCAAGCGGTTTTTTCATAATCAACAGGGATATTAACATTTTTAAATGAGCGCGGATTTTTTGCTTTCCCAATTACCAGTGGCTTTATTTTGTGTGAACCATTAGGTTTTCTCTGGTAACATTTTCCAATAAAGGCCACTTTCATCTGCGTTGTAAATTTGTTCCATTCTTAAATCTAGCTCGGTAATTGTTTTCATCATTTTTCTTTGAATGGTTGCACTAATTGTGGTTGTGCTGATAATTTTTCACCAGATATAGACAGCAGTCGAATTCCATATCTTGTTTTGAATCGTTGTAGCCAGCCATCACTAGCTACGAAATTTTCAGTTTCTTTCAGTTTTTCATTTAACAGTCTCGCTCTCTGTTTAAGTACTTCGCCACTAACTGGGACATGATTTTCCGTTGTTTTAAAAACCACTTATACAGGGAATTTTCCTTTATTTGCCTTCGCATTTTTTAAAGTTTTTCCTCCAAATGTATTGCACGTTCTTTGTAAAATTTGAGTTTTCATACGCTTAATTTTACAGATTGTTGCTTTCGATACTCCATATTTTTTTGCTAACTGTGTCACTCCCGCACCTAGTGCAACTTCGTCTATGATTTTCACTTTCTCACTCAACTTTAAACACTTTTTTTATAGGATGTGGATGCCATAGTCGTAAATATATTAACGCGTGCAATGTATTCACTTAAGTTTAAAAATGAAATACATACGTACGTATAAACGTATCCTAAAACGATCATACGACTGACCGAGTTTGTCGTATTTTATCGCAGAGGTGAATCCCCTACACTCTACATCATAAATCGGGGACTCCCCGACGCCCGACATAATCATCGAGGCTTCAGCATTTTACCGTCGCGCTGTTTCCGTGCGCCGAGAGTTGTTACGTTATCGAGCGTACACATTGTTTACGTTATCGCGCGTTCCGTTTGATCCTATAGAACGAAGTTTGTGTTTACATTAGCGCAAGTTTTCATTATCCCGTGTTTACGTTATCGAGCGTCTGCTGTACTTTCAATTGCATTTTCTCAAATCATTTCATTATGTTATTCCCTGTTAGTACCCTTCAAATGATCGTTGTCTTGCATATTTGTTCTAGAATTCATTCCATACGTTTTCCAATCCTGTCTTGCTGATGGAGCACACGCCGCGGGATCCGTACCTGAACCGTACATACAGCTCCTGCCGTGTCTATTGGCTCCTGTCCTGTGGGAAAGGCCTGCCACATCAGCCCGCTGGTCAGGCGTGCTGAGCGCATTCGCTATCCAGGCGGCGCCACAGATCATCGCTCAGGATAAGTGGTAAGGCAATGTACTTTAAATTCATCAACATAAAACAATTTTTGGGTTTCGATTACATTATCCAAATCATTAATGAACATATTAAATAGTGGCGGGTCTACGTTCGATCCTTGCGGAACACCGGAGTTCACGAAGTCTTTTAAACTCTCATCTTCGTTGGCATGTACATATATAAATATTAAAAAGAAACTTAGATTTTTGTTATACAGGGTGTTTGGTGCATCGTTTGCCAAATTGAAATGGCGGACAAACAGTTTTTAGCCCAACGGAATTAATTATGTAGATTTTTAAATTATTTAGTAAAAACTCCAAAATGTAATACACAAAGTGAAATAAAAAAAGTAAGACTATGTGGTGTTCCGCAAGGATCGAATTAAGCCCGCCACTATTTAAGACAAATTTTCAATGAAACTCAATTAAAAATTATATATCAGACATTAGTTTAATAACAACCATTTAAATCTTTACAAATATACAAAAATTATTAATAAAAAGATGAATCCCAAACTGTGAAAACGACTAATGTTTTCTGTTCTATCGAAGCGTCAAAGATAATGTCAGTTTTGCGTGCATTCAAAATGTGTAGATACGGAAATAATTGACGCTGTTATATTTTGCTAGTTCAGAAACGTTTCCTGCACTTTCCTTATAAATCTTATCTTCATCTTGCAGGGCGGTTTCTGGGCGTGTTCCAAAAATTGATAGCGTCAAAGGCTAACGATCATGAAGGATTTCGTCTAATACAGACGATGATCCAGCATTTCCCGCCGTAAGTTTACATCACGACAAGTTGTAGTTCCTATTTTGAGTCTGTCTTTTTGCAGGGAAGCACTCACAGCATACCACAAACAGATATTCTTCCTGCTGTTCAAAAGGTTATCTTCCAGCAAAACCACTAAATACGTTATAAATCTGATAGTTTTCTTTTGTATGTATGCCGTGAAATATTCTGCTAATCAACTTGTATCGACGATAGATGGTATCCAGGCACAGTAAGTTTAACATTGGTATATTATTTTTACCGACTTCGTAAAGTGTAGTCTGTCAAATGTCTTGAAAATCTCTATGGTAACAGCACAGCTTATTATTATTTATTTATCGACTATTTTTGAACGGCTGCGAATACTGCTTCGCTATTATGATCAAGAATGACTATAAATGCATTTTGAGGATATTTTACTGTGCTGTTTTCAGAATGTTCGGCATGTTATTAGAAAAGCTGCTTATAACCGAATTACAAAAGGTAGCCGGCAACGTAGATCGTAAAATTGTCGCCTGCGGGATTACGAAACTGTTATGCGACTGTCCTGAAATGTACACGGGCGCATACCAAAAATATTGGTCGCCATTATTGCAGGTGAGTGTTGAGGATATAGATTCGTTCATAAAAGTAAAAATATGTTTTGTTTTACATGATGATAGGTAATGCCTTGGATTTCTCACTTTTCAAAAAATCACAGTAACTGTGACATGCAGTAGCGGACAAAGGTTTGGAAACAGATATTAACATTATTATGAACTGTTTCATATACCTAAATTAAAATTGTGAAGGAACAGATAATATAAATAGTAAAGTTCACCTTTGGCTCCCGTACCAATACAAAGTTTATCTTATCAATACTCAAATTTCTCTGAAAATAAAATAAGCGTTTTTGTAACGGCAAAAGTATGGAAACATTTCAGTTTTGCCGTTATTTATTCGTTCTGCGATACTCTGATCGTGCGTGCGGTAAATATTAACATCAGTGGCAAAGGTAAAACAATTTTCAAAAGATTTAAAAGACAAAGTGATTGAATTTTTTAGAAGTGGTATCAGAAATGTTGACATTTCTCAAGATTAAAAATGAACAAAGGGACGATTTCGAAATTATAGTAAATATCAAGAATACGGATCAGCAGCAACGCGGCCCAGGTGCCAGATTATCGAGGCTTTTAGTTTTGTAACTGTGGAAAAGTTGGATAGTTTGAATAATCTATTTTTGAGCTACATATACTAATAGCTTTATTCTGAAACTTTAAACTTTGTACAAAAAATTGTAGTATTCGGCCGCATGATTCTATACTAATTAAATATTGCAGGCTCTTGTCGCTTTCTTTGAAATGCCCGTTGATGAAAGTACGTTGCCGGATGATCACTTCATTGAAGTCGACGATACGCCTACCTTTCAGACTGCCAGCGCGAAGCTGAACTTTGCTAACAGTACCAAGAACGATCCATTGGAAGGTATGTGACATTATGATTATTGATTCTTGACAGTATTGATGCACCCACTCATATTTTCAAACACATTTAACAGCTTAGTAATTGCTGATACTGTAAAGTCATAATTTTTGGAAATAGATAAGCGTGGCATTAAGATATTCGGTGTTTCGTATCAATAAATTATAATTTCAAAACGCTAAAAAAAACGCAATTTAATAGCAAAGTCAACTAAAAAGTAGAAAATAATTTTTAGGTATAGCAGAGTTTGTGTTACTGCAATAGAAAGTCATACGATGAATATAAAGATTGAGATATTAACAAAAAATGCATTGATATTAAAAAAGCGTGCTTGATAGTAAGTGTAAGAAGTATTTTTTAAGTCTGATTTTACAAAATTGTTATTATGAAAATATAGTTAATTAAAACAGAAACTCTCCTATACTTGAAACTTATTTTCTACTTTTTAGTTCGATTTGCTATGAAAACGTTTTTTTTTTTTTAGCGATAATTTATATTCTGAATTTTTAGCATCAAAATAAGAAAAAATCACGCTCTTGCCATTCATCCTTTGGCAAGTTTCTCACCTTATATCAGATTGGGTGAATTTAACTTTTTATTTTTTTCAAAATTTGAATTTTTTTCCAAAGTTAAAAGTAATTTTTTAATTAGCATTTTTTCCCATTTTTTAAATCCAAATATCTTCCAAATTTCTAAATTATTCCCCAAATTTCCCAGTTGTCCAATTATTTTGCAAATATTCAAATCCAATTTTTCCCAAATTTCGTATACACAACCTTTGAAAATTATTTCTACTTTTTAGTTCGATTTGCTATTAAAGCGAATTTTATTTTTAGTTTTTCTAAACAATACGAGTAATTTATTTTTTATTGATAGTAAAAATCGTGGGGTTCTTGATAGTAAGTGTAAGAATTATTTTTTAAGTTGCGATTTTACAAAATTGTTATTATGAAAATATAGTTAAATGCAGCAACACCAACTCTCCTATATACTTATTTTCTACTCTTTAGGTTGATTTGCTGTGAAAGCGTGTGTTTTAGTTTTTTTAAACTATAATTTATTTTCTGAATTTTTAGCATCAAAATAATAAAAAATCACGCTCTTGCCATTCATCCTTTGGCACGTTTCTCACCTTATATTAGATTGGGTGAATTTAACTTTTTTATTTTTTTCAAAATTTTAATTTTTTTCCCAAAGTAATTTTTTTAATTAGCATTTTTCTCATTTTTAAATCCAAATTTCTTTCAAAATTTCCAAATTTCTAAATTATTTCCCAAATTTCCCAGTTTTCCAAATATTCAAATCCAATTTTTCCCAAATTTAGTATACTTGAAAATGATTTTCTACTTTTTAGTTCGATTTGCTATTTTAAAGCGAATTATATTTTTAGTTTTTCTAAACTATACGAGTAATTTATTTTCTAAATTGTTAATCTAAAAACGACAACAAAAAACCACCCTCTTGTCATGCATTGTTTGGCATGCTTCTCACCTTATATTGGATTGGGTGAATTTAATTTTCTTTCAAAATTTTAAAATTTGCTTCCATATTAAAAATTATTCTTTTTATTTAGCATTTTCCCTAATTTTTAAATCCAAATTTCCGAATTTTCCAATTATTTTAACTTTTTAAATGCAATTTTTCCAAATTTAATATACACGATAAAGAAGAACAAATTGTTGCATTTACGCTCCACGTGGCCTCTAGCCTAAAAGCACAAACATGATAGAGCTTTTTTTTATATCGTCAGCCGACTCAATTGTAAGCTGCCTGTTTCACCAAAAATAAGAATGACATATCTACCATGTGTTGAACAAAGTTCGACCGCAGCTCAGAGTACAATTAGCTATGTAACTCCTGTCAGTGTCAAAAACGGCCGCTACATCGGCGTGTAAAATCTCCTAGTACAACGATGAAAGAGGTATTATGTGTCTTGAAAAGTGAGATTTTGCCGTTTTTTGACATTTTATAGGTTTTCTGTGACATAACATAGGTTTTTCCACAAGATGTCATAATTCCATTGGTTGTTTGTCTCAAATACACTTGATATGTCTTCATAGCTAGAAATTAGTTGCGCATCCACTTTTTCTTATTCATTCTGAAAATTACATATGCAAATTTGCTGTATTTCAAAAATAGGAAAGATAAGAAAAGAAAACCCTTGGTTGGTGAAGTAATTAACTTTATGTGGAATCTGATATTTTATACTTACATACTGCGACATATTTCAATTATATTCACTGTCAAATTACAAGTCATATACATGCTGACAATAATTACAGACAGCGCGGACGCGGCGGTGATTTGCCGTAATTCTCAAAGGTTTTGAAAACAAAAAAATAAACGGAAAATCGTAATTTATAACTTTGAACATAACCTGACTTCGGAAACGACAACATCTAATAGATATACTTCATTGGCAGCATATTCAGTAATAATTTCTTCTGAGAGATATACTCTACAGACTATATCGGCATTCTGCAACCAACAAAGCATGTTTGAGCGTGTCGTGTCGTTGAGTCATTACTCCATAGATGGACGCTTTTGATGTCGCTCACAGCGATCATATCGAGAAAACGTGGAATGAACTATTTGCTCACTAAAAACTATTTAGTCTGCAAGATTACATTTCGTCGTTTTTTTTACGAAGATTTTTCATAAATAAAGTCATCAATGCTCAGTCACTTCTGTTTGGACAACTCCTTTCTATTATTGGGTTTTACATCATCTTGGAATATAATTTTTACAATCTGCGGCCGCTGGAATTTACGCGGCAACGGCTACTGAAGACTAAAACCTTTCGTCATTGTACTAGGAGAATTTATATGCGATTGTATGAAAGAAATAATAGTGTCGCGGCGAGGTACATGGCAAGGTGAACAGTGAAGACCCCACAGCAGACTGCTAGCCCTAACCGACTTTAAATTTTGTCTTTCAGCTGTATCTGAACCAAGGCAATTTTTGGTGCAAAACCTTTCTACACTTGGTAGGTCTCAACCGGGTCGTCTCCCGACTTTGATCAGCAATACTAGCGCAGACTGTCAAAGAATACTTCAGCAGTACTGTGCAAAGTTTAGCGTACAACTTGTATAAAATTGTAGAGTCAACATATTTGTTCATAGGTACCGACATTTTCTCGTTAGTTCGTATTCCACTGTTACAAAAAGTCGATTTCTATACTCTCAGTTCTTGTTTTAAAGTAATTTTTGTTTCATTTGTTAAGTCTATCTCAGGTTGATAATATCCACCTATCTACAATAATTTTGATCGAGGTTATTGAACCCGTAAGTCACTATTGTTTTGTTTGTGGTCTAGTTTTTATAACACTCAATTTATGCCATCATGAAAATTCATAATGGGTTACCTGACCGTTCTATTTTAAACTTGACCTTACACGTACCGAGATCCTCTTGTGTTTTACCCTACTGTACTTTTGATATAAAATAAATTATTTTTATTATTCTGGTTATTTTATTGAAAGTGGTTCTTGTATTAAGCAAATCACACATACTGCGTAAGAACTTACTTACTTTTTGTTGACTTTATCCTGGAAATACAAAATAAACTGCTTATTGACATTTCCACTTTTTGTTGTCTAATAGCAATTAACACATATTTTGCATAAAGACAAATCTCTGTGAACAGATGATTATAGCTAAGGTCAGAAATGATCCATCCACTACTAAAAAATATATACCTATCTATCCGGATTTTTGCGGACAATAATGTGATGATAAAAATTTTTTATTAGGTTATTTTAGCAAAATTCGTAGGTATCGTATAAATTGTGTAATTCGAACGTGTCATTGTGAGTTTTCGTGTTGAGGGGGCAACTTCTTGTCATTTGCATTTTCTTTATTTCTATCCACACCGATTTTTTTGCGCCTTTGTGAACTTAATAATGGTGAGGCACCGATATAAATATATGTAAAATTATAGCTCAGACGGCAGAAGAACATGTGTCGCTTCATGGGTAAGTGTATGTTGTGTTTATCGCAATGGGGTGGTTGTTAATTCCTAACCCCAAGTTGGATGATTTAATGCGTTTCGACTCGGATAGATTTTAGCACAAAGTTCGCTTTATTGGTGTAATTATATTGTTTTAATTATGGACAGCATACTATGCCCCTTTTTAGTTACATCCAGGTCATAAGTATATTAATTTTCATCATATTTTTATGCAAAGCATTCTTTATGTACAATTTTTTCTCTTCATACCTCTCTATACTTCCGAACTCTACATATCAATACTATAAATCAAATCAAACCCCAGCACACAACCAACGTCAATATCCATCGATCGCAATCCTTCTTCGGTGATCGCGTGATTTCGCGCAGAGGAAATGTGCCATGACCATCAAGATCGTGCGATTTGACTCCCTTGGACTTCTTTTTATAGGGATATTTGAAAAGCAAAGTCTACGTCAACAAACCAGCCACCCTCCAAGAACTCAAAAACAACATCATTGCCGAGATAAATGTCATAGAACCGACCATGTTGCAAAATGTCATTGAAAATTTCGACCATCGCGTGGACGTCTGTAAATCCAGTCGTGGTGAACATTTGAGCGATATTATTTTTCATACATAAATGGTATAAATGAACCTTCAAAATAAAGTACCCAACTTGATTTTAATATCAATCTTTCTTGTTTTAATATGCGTTTACTTTCCTGCGTCCGTTTGGACAGTAGATCAATAAATTATGAAATTTGACAAATTGATCAAATTATTACCTAAAAAAAATGATGTGATTTTGACATGTACACTATAATGTTGTATGGCCATGTTTCGTGGTTTAATGATGAATGAAAAACAAAATATTTTTAAAAACACTTATATTAATCTTATGCTACTTACTACACCGTCCAATACCACAACCGACCTTGTAACATACTGACTGCAACAGCAGAACATAAAGGTTTCTTAAAAATGACATAACAAAGATTAACAAATGGTTTTGCAAAAATCACGCAAGAAAATGCACAGCACCCTGCAGCGCCATGTACCCTGTTATAGCGTATCCGACAAAGCACGCCAAAAATCTAGCAGGCTGTGGTACCACCACTACGGCGTAGACCAGCGTATAAGCGATTCGGGCCGCAGTGAAGGTCAAGAACAACGTTTTGGCCAACCAGGGAGAAGGACTGGTCATCAGGTATGAAAAGGCGGCCACAAAGTAGATTTGGATGTTCTCCAAATCATTCTGGTGTGCCCTAGAAAATAATGAACTTTGACATTATCTATTTTTCTTACATTATGTAGGTTATTCTACAAGATGTTAACTTAGCACTTAGTTGTACGTGTTGCCTAAACGTCATGAGGCTTGTTATCAATCTTTGTCTCTGATCTGATGTAAAATCTGCTTCTGAGATGGCATTACTGGAGGTCTAAGCTGTAAGTTCTGTGTTGATGATAATTATATTGGGTTCTTGTCTCAAATACACTTAATTGAGATTCAAAGCTAGAAATTACTTGCTCATCCACTTTTTTTATCCATTCTGGAAATTACATAAACAAATTTGCTGAATTTCAAAAATGAGAGAGATAAGAACTAATTATATTCACTGTACACTGTCGAATTACAAGCCATATACAGTAATTACACACAACGCGGGCGCGGTGATGATTTCCCGAAATTCTCCTCAGTTTTTCGTAATTTATAACTTTGAACATAACCTCTCCTCAGAAAGCGCAACATATAAATAACCAGTCATATTCAGTAATGATTTTCTCACACAGCAACTATCACTGATTTTATACACATGCAGACCAATACATATATAATCATCCAGATGCGATCTTGTTATTCAACCAACTTTCTTCTCGGGGATAAAAACTTCAGACGAGGACCACTCGGCCTCACCAAACGTATGCAACCAATAATGCGTATAGTTTAGGCCCGTATCGTCAGTCGTCCCTAAAATTCTAGGGCGCCTTTATGGCCTCCTTGATTGTCATAGATTTCTATTTTTCCATGACAGTGCTCTATTTTGAGGTTATGTCACAAACATCTATTTGCATCAAATTGTGTTTGCTTTTGAGTTATATCATGTTTTATCAGCCTGAAATTTCCAACAATTTAAAAGGAAAACATATCTTCACAATAGGAGAGCGCTGACGCTGACACGGGACAAGTGTAATCCAGAAATTTTTGAAGGAGAGAAAGGAGTATAACAATCAAGGAGGCCATAAACGCGCCCTACAATAATTGTAGGGACGACTGATGATACGGGCCTTAGTTGAGTGATTCCTCCGTAGATGGACATTCACAACGATCCTAGTGAACAAACGTGGAATGACTGTTTGCGCCCTAACAACTACCTAGTCGGCAAGTTGACATCTTATGGGTTTTTTTTGACGTTTGTAGGTTTTTTACATGATACTGTTATAGCAAAAATACTAGGGTTGCCTCAAAAATATGGTTCCCAACGCTGTACCTTTGCCGCCCGTGATGCTATGCGAAATCTGGCAACAGCGTTGTATTTGAAGGCTCCCCCACCACCGATCCCTACAAGAGGCGCCTATTTGCAATACTCAGTATCGGCCCGACAGCCATGCGCAATGGAGCCCTTCATCGCCGTCACCGCCAGGTGCGAAATTCGTGAGTTATAAGATCGATGCCTGGAGATCGCTTTTTAAAAAGTTTATTTTCGAAAATACAAAACTCAAAAATGTACTTTGACAAAATTATTACAATGTTATTATAATGTTAACAATATAATGGCTTAAATCTGACTGACTATAAGGTAAACCATCGTCAGCAGTATTCCTGGCATATCAGCAGGAATGGCTGATATAACTCGTGCGATCATTCGAACGTTACCACCCATAGAAATTCATCGCCACTTGAGTGAAGTATATGTATACAAGCTCTTTGATAAACTAAGTTATCATAATTCTTATCAGAATAATATAGTATAAAAGTGATGGATCATTTTGCAATCACAGCCTAGGTCTAGAATGAATGTTTTTTGTTACCTTCTCACTCTCTCAACACTTTCGTTTGTGATTGGCTTCCTCTTGTACATTACTGCATCTTCAGGGTTTGCAAAGGCCTGTAAGAGATAATAATATGTAACAATCTAGGGCGCCCACAGGAATTTTTCACAGGGGGGCCCATCAACCGCCAAGGGCAGGTTTTGTGAATGTGAATCAGCCCCTAAAAGATTACAAGAGCAGGGGATAACAAATTTTCTTAGAGGGGAGGGGGTTAGAAAGCCTTAAAAATCCCCAATGTTTTACACAGAACCAAGCTAAATACGCAAAATTTATGAGTACTGAGTGAAATAAAGAGATAAATAAAACCCAAGAATGCTCAATCAGCATCAGTTACAAAAGTCCACTACGAATATGGATCTAAGTATTATTTATAAAATGCCTCACATGAAATCAAAATTGAATTACTATTAATGTATCATTCCAGTAAAATACTGCTACATCAAGCAAAACAATTTTTCTGATGATGGTTTATCAGGTTATCAGTGATGAAATGAGTGTTTATATTTTATATTAGCTAGCATGTGAAAAGCATTGCAATTTTCTGCATGCAACACAGTGTTTATTCATATCGATAGATAAGGAATATTGCATTGCATTGCAAAATCAAGTTGAGATACATACGAAATCTAGTGTATAATCTTAAATAACGTCTGTTTTCAAGTTGATAAATCTTAAAATTTAATTTAAACGTCAGCGAACAAACGTGAAATGAACTAATTGCACACTAAAAACTACCTAGTGTGACCTACTCTGCAAGATGACATTTTCTTGTTTTTTCATGTTCTCAAGGTTTTTTACATACATTTACCAACGAAAATGAGTGACACGATTTTTCGTGATGTAAATGTCATATAACATCAAAAAACCTTTTCGAAAATGCAATACGCCAGAAGGCGTGGGAAGTAAAATGTAGGACGCCTTTATGGCCTACTTCTTTTACAGTTTTCTGTTCCGTGTCAGCGCTCTATTTTGAGGTTATGATACTACAAATACCTATTTGCATCAAATTGTTTATGCTTTTGATTTAAATCTGTATGAATTTCAAAAAGAAAACATAGCCTAGAAATTCCCCAGCCTTTCTGAAATCTGAAGAGAGACCATGAAAATCAATTGTAATACGAATATAATAATGTAATCGGCAAAGGAGTAAATAGATAAAAAAAAGCGCATTACCTTATTTCTAATCCTGATAAACGATGTTAATGCGGACATGGACATCATCTTTAACACCAAAACCGAATTATAAAACAGATATGCCCGAAAAACGGGATTTTCCAGAGAAAACAGTTCCTCTGTTTTTAGGGACATCTTGAAAGTACGGCCGGTATTAGCTGTATTGCGTTGCGGAGAGATGGATGCCAAGCGCTAAGTTGACAACGATCGCACTTCTACTATCAACTGAAATAAATACTAATAAACACTAATAATTAAAAATTCCATAAACATCGGTTGAAAGGTCAAGGTTCAGTGAACAGTGGCGGATCACGGCAATCGGCAATTAATAAAATGCGAGGCAAAAAGATAAAGCTTTTGACGGATTCCTATGCACATGACCATTGATCAACGTATTCTACCTGAAGATAGCTAACCTAAAACTATATTCTCGCGCCCAAAAAATTATCGGAGATGAAATTAGAAATGTACTGTAAAAAGATTGGTGTCTCATAGGTTGCATTGTAGAAACCCTCAACCGTCACTGTTAAGATTAATTGTATCAGCTGAAGAAAAATTAAGTCCTATCCACAATTCTGGTTTCATTTGTACAATCGAATCGCCAGCATGCCACAGTTATTCCTAAAAAAAAGTAACGGTTTATACGAGGGTCATTTCAATAACCTAAAACGCTCTAATCTCTAATAGTTCGGTATAAATGGTTTGAATATAGCCCCGAGAAAATTGATACCTCTGCTCATCAAAAAATTTTGGGGGCAGGTACAATTTCACAAAAAGTTATCTCTTGATGATGAGATCGGCACCCCCGAGAAAAATTCCTGTGGGTACCCGTGGACAACAATATTATTGCTCTAATAAAAAAAGAAATCTGTGCATTGTAGTAACATATCAGCACAATTCAATTTTTTCATAATTTTTGATTTATGCAGGTGCCAACAAAGGCTGTGGAATGAAAACATCTGGTCCATAAAGATGTTAATACTGTTTTGTTTGTAGACAAATGTATATAATAAATATATATTTAGGTATTTGCAGTACCTATATGTTTTTCTTCTGAACCTTTCCAGATTAGTAAGTAGATATGAGTGACCTTATAACAGATTGTGTTATTGACGTTGCTATTTTAACATACAAAAAAGCACGTATTCGGCGAAATGTTAATAACACATGCTGTTATAAAATCTCGCATATCCCACCAAATTTCTATATTTATAAAAGTATAGCAATCTCATATATGTAGAGCTGGCAACGTTGCGGGATATTAATGCACAATCTCGCAACCATGTCGCACTCTCAAAAAATGGCAGCTGACAACCACATAAGTCACCGTGCTGTCATTGAATAGCATGGAATTAAACCTTCTTCAGTATATATGTTCTGTCGTTCTGTGTTTTTTGCTGTCAACTTTCAGCTTTTCCTGTTGTGCATCTATTTCTCAATTTAAAATTAGTTTTTATACATTTGTATTACAATTTATCGCACAGTACATTTGCAAAGTACGTATTATTAAATAGCAAAGTTGTGCAACGGCGTAGCTCAAAAGGATACGATTTTCTGTCAAGGATTTTCAAAAAAGAAAGTAGCGCTTGCGTAATGCATTGTTTTGGAGAACGGTAATGGATACGTAAAATTTAGGAAATCCACAATTTTGAAAATTAGTAATACATTCATAACAGAAGTAAGTATGCTGAGCAATCTTTATTCATCTTTATTTTATTGTCTTGTGAAAAAGCCAGGAGAATACCTTAAGCCAACATAACAGTACATGTATGTTATCCATATAGTGCAAAAAACTGAACGTATGTACCTTCCAGCGAAAGAAACAACACTGAAAAGCAGTCATGTCGGACCAACAACAGTTTTTCTTAAAATGGAACGATTTTCAAAGCAACATGGTGTCATCCTTCCGGCATTTAAGGGATGAAAAGAGCTTCACTGATGTAACATTGGCATGTGAAGGACAGACATGTAAAGCACATAAAATGGTATTATCAGCATGTAGTCCTTACTTCAAGAGCCTATTGGAGGTAAGTTGCTTAAATGTTTATTGATCCTACCCTTTTTGAGCCCAATATGTGTTTATTCAGTAGGGTTACTGAATTTACTTGCTTCCTATCTTTGCTAAGCAATTGATTATGAGGGTCGGATAGATATAGGATTTTTGCTGAAAAACATTGCCTTAGTAAATCACCTAGGCTGCAAGCACAAATCGTTGGACATCTGACAATACCTGCTGTCTGACATTGTTGCCCAATTTGAGGTATATGCACATTTTTCTTCGTCTACCTACAGTGCACATTGTGATAGAGTCCACTAACTGCAGAAAAATTTAGTTTTTGAATTATTCAGCCAAAACAATACCTACCACTTGCTACATGCATCCTATTTTTCTTAACTTTGCAATGAAACATGACATGATTTCTCAGAAATATCTCACCAAAGGACACACCTAAATGGAATGCGACACAGTTGAATTTAAAGAAAACTGAAAAATAGAGAATAAGACCAGGCAGGGACAATGTAGTCACTTCTATCTCTGAAACCATTTCTATACGTTTTGGAGTTCCTCAGGGTAGTGTTTTGGGGCCATTATTTTTTATAATATATTTGAATGATATGGAACTTGTTCAGATAAGTAGCTCCATAAATCTATTTGCTGATGACACACTTGTGAACTCAGCCTGCAAAAACCTTAATGAGGCTATCGATATTGTGAACTGTAACCTTGGAAATATTGATACTTATCTACAAATGAATAAATTGAAGTTGAACACTCAAAAATCAAAAGCAATGGTAATATCAAGCAGAAGTAAAAACAAGAATATAATAGAGGCTAATATCCAAATTAACATTGAAAAAACAGTTCTTGATATAGTTGATACAACGAAATACCTTGGATTTATGTTGGATAAAAACCTAAACTTTAACAGCCATAGTGCCCATATTATTAAGAAAATTTCAAAGAAACTTTATTTTTTTTCACGAGTTTCTAAACAGCTTTCAATGTTTACAATACAATAATAAAACCTCATTTTCAGTACTGTTCATCTTTATTATATTTCTTTAGCAAGAACAAAATAGGCACCTTACAAAAACATCAAAATAGGGGAATGCAGATAATTTTACAGTGCTCTAGGTACACAAGAATTGAATATATGCTGGATACTCTACAGTGGTTATCGGTGAATCAACATCTTTATTTAACAACAATGCTATTTATTTATAAAATTGTGAAGGGAACGTTACCTAATTATTTAGTTGCTCATCTACGCCCAAATAATGAGATCCATTCATATAACACTAGGACATGTACTCATTTCCATGTAGATAAAACAAATATGAAGAGTACAATGAAAACAATCATGTGCAAAGGTCTATGTGAATACAATAAGTTGCCCCAGCAAATAAAAAACGCCGACTCAGTCGGGTATTTCAAGAAAGCACTTATCAAACACATAAGATCTGACAGAATTTGTTAAAATTATTATATTTGAATATATATGTATGTACTTGTGAAATGCTGTAATGCTACCAGTTGTTGTTGTTGTTGAAATTAGATTTTTTTTTTCTAAATAAAGGACTACTACATCAAAGTACATACTATGTTATAACCCCGATGGAAAAATTGAAGTGAAACTAGACTTCACTGTAGAGCCTCAGGAGTTGCCTATGAGACCAAAACAGCTACCCGTCATTTCGGATTATAAGTGTTATGTCTAACGACTGTCACATGTTTTATGACAATTTGCCATATGCCAAGGAAAGAAGCTGAACGTTCATTTAAGGTGTAACTGAGAATACATGCTATTATCTTTTTGATTTGTAAAAGCATTAAACTTTTAATTTGATATAATGAATAACGTTTTTCTAACACGAATCTCACTAAATCCATCTATGCATCATAGTAAAGGATTGTCCAATAGGGACGCAGGAAAGTAAACGTCAATTTGACATACACGCCATCTTTGTTTTCTGTCACCGACATGTCATTTTGTTAGTTGAATGTTTACCATTGATCGCTATGGAGTCGTACTGGATTGAAGACCGCATTAAAGTTATTCAAGAGCTCTACAAAAATGGTGCAAAAAAAAACACGTTTCGCGCGCTTCGTGAACATTTCGGTCGCAACAACCGCCCAAACGAAACAACCATCGGTCGTCTGGTGCGTAAATTCGAGGCAACATGTTCTGTGGCAAATCTGCCAGGCTCTGGCCGGCCAAGGAGCGTTCGCACACAGGAAAATATTGCTGTTGTGAAGGAGAGTTTGCTCCGCATTCTCCACAAGGATTTGAATGTACACGCCTACAAGATCCAATTGACGCAAGAGCTGCGTCGGTCCGACCATTTTTCGCGCCGAACGTTCTCAGATTGGCTACTTGAACACCGCCAAATTGATGCCAATTTTTCATCAAAAATCATGTTCAGTGACGAAGCGCATTTCACTTTGAATGGGACGGTAAACAAGCAAAACTGCCGCATCCAGGCGAACGAAAGTCCCCGTGAGTATCGAGAGCAGCCGATGCATCCTCAAAAAGTGACTGCGTGGTGTGCATTGTGGTCAAAAGGCATCATCGGACCTTACTTTTTCGAAAATGCGGCCAAGGACGCCGTTACCGTCAATTCTGAGCGATATCACGTGATGATAGAGGACTATTTTTTGCCGCAACTTGAAGGAATTGATATGGACGATGTTTATTTCCAACAAGACGGTGCAACATGCCACACAACCAACGTCAATATCCATCGATTGCAGTCTCTTTCGGTGATCGCGTGATTTCGCGCAGAGGAAATGTGCCATGGCCACTAAGATCGTGCGATTTGACTCCCTTGGACTTCTTTTTATGGGGATATTTGAAAAGCAAAGTCTACGTCAACAAACCAGCCACCCTCCAAGAACTCAAAAACAACATCATTGCCGAGATAAATGCCATAGAACCGACCATGTTGCAAAATGTCATTGAAAATTTCGACCATCGCGTGGACGTCTGTAAATCCAGTCGTGGTGAACATTTGAGCGATATTATTTTTCATACATAAATGGTATAAATGAACCTTCAAAATAAAGTACCCAACTTGATCTGAATATCAATCTTTCTTGTTTTAATATGCGTTTACTTTCCTGCGTCCGTTTTGGACAACCCCATATAATATCTGCTAACTGCAAAGAAAGTCAGCAGAAATATCAGCTATCTGCACTAAAAGTTTCCTTTGACGTCATTTTTCAAGCTATTGTCAACTACCCAAAGTATTAGGTTGTCATCATACTACAATTAACAAAAATCTTTCTTGTAGGAAAATCCATCCAAACACCCAATCATAATCCTCAAAGATGTGGCGTACAGCCATCTACAAGCAATCCTGGAATTTATGTACGCTGGCGAAGTGAACGTGAGCCAAGAACAGTTGCCTGCTTTTTTAAAGACAGCTGACAGACTTAAAGTGAAGGGCCTTGCAGAAGCCCCTCAAGCAATCAAGAGGGAATAAGTGCATTGTTGATTATGATTCTTAGATAGACCAACTTTCTTGCATTCACTGTATTCACAGAGCTTGAATGACTGAGATATCCAAAAAATCCTCATTGAAGATAAATTGGAAACAAGGATATCATTTTAAAATGTAATGATGAAAACAAAATTTATATTGGGTCTACATCGTCTGTATTAATCAATGATACGTCTACAACTCATGTTTTGGTGTTGCAACTGATTTGCAATAAACGGTTTTTAGTTTATACAGGGTGCGGAACAAAGGTCGGACGGTTGTTAAAAAATCACAAAATCTGTCATTTTTAGCGTTTGTCACAATTAAGTGCGGAAAATCACATCAGTCATGTGGTTACTGTTTTTGACGATGCATTGCTAGAGTCGTCGATGGAAGTTCGCGTAGACTCTCTCCAACATCGTTCTCTCAACTTGAGCGACTTCCTCGCGCATCGCCTTCTTGCGCATTGCCTCCTTGAACTCGTCCAGGGTTCGGGGCCTGTGCTGGTACATGGTGTCTCCATAGGAAAAAATCGCAGATGGATAAATCTGGGGACCGAGGAGACTAATGTACATGGAAATAAGGCGACCACGGAAGAGTGGGCGAATAACGTTTATCGTTGCTCTGGCTGTGAGGGCGCCCGAATAGGCGGATGGTGCTAGGTTGGTTCAAAAACATCCGTCCTTTGTAGTAGGCAGATACTATTCTGTAAAGTAAATGGCTCGATCATAATTTTGAGAGGTTTCTTGGTGTAAAAATCTTTGTGTTGATTGCTCGTGAGTATGGTGAATAATTGCAATTTTCTGCATATTACGATAAATCAATTTTAGTTGTAAATTTGATTGGGCAGCTTAAGGTGTTTGGAAGAGCTGATCTTTTCGTTTTGTACGATGCAGAAATTATTTGGTAGTGTTTTTCCAAATTAAGGTATTCGTTTTTTCATACAAAAGTGTGTTCATATTAACTGTTCAGACCAAGATACTCGTTGACATGGTGAGAAGTGTATCTAAGACAAAATGCACATCTGCTGAAAAATGTTGAGTATGAGACCTAAGCCAGTCCTGTTATTTTTTACAATATTGCAATTCTATGGCTACAAAAAGGAAGTAGTTTTATTGTTCAATTTCAAATGAACAATAGGGGCAAAAAAGTGAGGTTTGTACATTTAGTAGGTGTGAGAGAAAACACGATTTTTGAGTTAATTGAAATTGGAATTTTTTCGAAGAAAATTTTCAAACTGAAAAGTATTATACAGGGTGTCCGCAAAGTTGGAGTTTTCCTTTTCAGAAACAACTACCCTTGAAATAACAAAGGTAATGTGTAGTGAAACGAGGGCGACCAAGTAAAAAAAAATAAAGGAAAAAGTACTCACTCTCCAGTTGACGAGAAGGGCTAAGTACGTCTCTGCCCGAAATCATACCGCTCCAACAGAAAATGAAATCAGCTGATGCAGACGCAGAAACCACATTGATTGTCTTACACTTAATGGCACATCTTCTAACAAGGAAGGCAAAATGTTGCGTAAAAAGTCTAGGTATTGCATCCCGTCCAATCGATTTGGGAGAATAAATGGTCCAATGAGCATACCGTTCACCATGCCAGCCCAAACGTTCACCGAAAATGTTTGTTGAAAATGTGCCCGACGGACAGCGTGCGGATTTTCTACTGATCAAACATGAGTGTTGCAGAAGTTATTCACCCCATAACGCGTGAACGTAGATTCGTCTGTCACCAATATGCACTTCAAAAAGTCCGGATTATTGTCATGTTGATGCAACAACCACTCACAAAACCGCACGCTTGCTGGAAAATCGTCAGGTTGAAGGGTTTGTACTCGTTGGACGTGAAATGGATACAGCCCCTCTTCACGCAGCGTTTGCCACACTTTAGTTTTTGATACTTGCACTTCTCTAGCCACGTCTCTAGTGCTTGTTGAGGGATTCTCGTCTACGCGATTACCTCTACATGCGTGACCGTAACCGTCGGTTGTAGGTTGCATACTCACTTGACACACTGACCCCGACCCAGTTCTGCCGTCGGGTTGAGACCTTGTACCAATCGGTGATGTCCCGGGTCGCGGCTACAGGACGGTATTCAGATATTTTTGATGTTGCAGAGCCCTTTATCTCGGTTCCCTTAAGATATGGTACTAAGAAAAATTGCTTATGTTTTCAAGATCTACACGTCTTGTAAAGGAAAACCCCAACTTTGCGGACACCCTGTATTGAGATACGGACCATAGTGTTAAGTATGTACCGTACATTTAACAGACGAGTCTTTGAGTCTAAGTCAAAAAGTTTCTAAATTCTTTGTTCTCAAGATACAGGGTGTTAGAATATTAAAAAATGGTTTTTCTTAAATTTCCTAGAATATCCTTCACCTAACTTTGTTGTAATTTCACGGTGGTATTTATAATATTAAGAAGCAAATTCATTGAGTCCAGTGGCGTCGCGAACGGGAACAACGAATATTTGTGAGAAAAAAATGTACGCTACTGACTTTTTTTTTGGAATTTTCTCGAAAACTAAGCAAGATACGAAAAAAATTCAAGAAGCAAAAAAGTTGTATTTCTTTTTGCTCAATCCAAAGAACATAACGAAAATTGCACAAAAGTCAGTGGCGTACATTTTTTTGTCACACATATTCGTTCAGATGCCGCTTGAGAACGAATAATTTGCGGACTCAAAAATCGTCTGTTAAATGTATGGTACATAATTAACGTCCTGTATAGGACATTTTTTATATAAAAAAAAAATTGTAATTGAAAAAAACTCAAGGCACTAAACATTTCAAACCAAAATTTGGACAACTTCTAATTTTTTTTCATTTTCGATTTGTCCACTCGGAATGAAAGCTATATTACTATCTTTTGATATTATTTGGGCAATAATATCTTGATAAATATCCTGATTCGGATTTTTCGCATAATCCGCATGTTGCCGTGACCAGATTTGCGTCGAAAAGTTTTTTAAACAAATTCAGCGTCGGCCAAAGTGCTTTATGTTTTTTCTGGAAGATTCTGAACAAAAAGGAGCTTCTCTAAATTGATGGTTTTCGAGATATGAGCGATACAGTTTTTGGAGATCGTTTAAAAAATTGTTTAATTAATTTTTTACGCAAATTTGGCCGTTTTTGAATAAGATTATTCAAAAAATCCAAATCAGAACACGTTTCCCATCAGACGCGAAGAAATAGCCGCGACTAAGTGGGTTTGAAAGGGTGTTTAAAATGTTAGAAAATTTTGAGTTTATTTTTAACGCACTGTTCCTTAAACAGAAGATGGGTCAACAATCAATATTCTTACCATATATCTTCATAAGCAGTTCGAAATTTTGTTTCTGATACACTTGAACATTCTTGTTATTAAAAAGGCTCTCCATAACCACTACAACTTTTGTTCTATGCATCTATAACGTATTTATTTCAAAGTAATTTGGGTTTTCAGTAGTGATCCTGAAGATGTCGCTGAAGGATAACGGTTATGTCATGCCGTGAGGTTATTGCTTTTTTACGTATACCATAGTTGTAGATATGAATCTAGTAATGAATATCAGTAGAATATGTGGTCAGTAGACTCACTCTGGCTGAAGTTTGACAGACGGGTGGATTTCACGCGCTCACAAAGCAGCAAATAATCACCATTATATATGGAGCTATCGACGCGCGAACATTTATTTGACGTTTCTCTGCTTTTTGCTTATTTCAGCCCATAGTGGAAATATGGTATGGGTTGTTTGAACATTCTGAAATATATGCAACCAGGATGTCTTCTATGGTTGCATATTTGCTAACAACACTTTGTAGCTAGAGTATATCTGATCCGTACTAAGTTCCACTTTTTTCTATTCAGTTCTCATTTAGTGTAGCTTCTGGTTTACATATTCTGTGATAACATTGATCTGTCGAGTAGTACTGATGATGGAACAAAATTCTTTGCGGTGTGTTGCTAATGAAAGGTGTAATTGGTTATGGATTGTCGATAGTTTGTTTTACAGATACACAATCTAAATATTTTTTTAACAGTTGGTAATTTTTGCAAGTGAATAGGGATCATCCAGAATTTCAACGTATACATTCGATCTAATTTGATTTAGAAGATGCCTTAACGAAGTTTTGGAAAATCCTTGAATATACATGGACTGTAAAGATATATTTCTACATAGTAATTTTTCTACTCAAGTAATTTTATGGAATACTGTTTTGCAATTTTTATCAGTACTTTTTTTATGATTTAAGATGATTATTATTATTGTATAAGGAGATAGATATTTTATATTTTTATAGCATTTTCATTTTTTACCATGTTGTTACCAATATTTTCATCCACAGTTGGTTTACTTTCTTACAGGTTTATTATTTTTCAATTCAATATAAGATTAGTTATAAAAACGAAACGTGTGTTTTGAATTTTTTAATAATGTGGATCATGAGAGTTATAAATATATTACATAAAAATACACTTTTGGTTTCGCTCTTTTACCTTGGAACATTCCTCACTCAATTATTGGGTAATAAAAAAATTGGTGCCTTATCCCTTCTTGGTAGACTTGCCTGCACAATTTTACGAGAACTAAGTCGCCTCTAAAGTACCAGGGGACTTAACGATGTACTAAAAATAACGTGAACGCATAAAATATGTGTAACCTTGACCATGACCTTCCAGAACAAATCAAAATTTACAAAGGAAGCTTCTCATTTTTGTGCTGCAAATGAAAGAAACAGGAATTTTTACGTTCAAATGTGACCTTGACCTTAAATATTCAAGTTTGACACGGCCTTGAGTACAGTCGGACCCAAACTTTCCTGCTTTTTCTATTTCCATTATAAACAAAAAAGTTGTCCTTTGGAAATGTTGACTTGACCTTGAAGGTCATTTTTGGGGCATCCGCACAACTGCCCTATGGAGCATTTTAGATGGAGCTAATTGATTCCGTCCGTCTCTTGTTTTGACCTTGAGGGCAATGGTGAAGGTCATGACCAAGGAGATGTTCAGGCGTATTTGCTCATATCACTTCCGACGTGATACAATATTCTCTTGACCTTGGAAGGTCGTAGTCAAGGTCACCACCAACTTGAAACTCGAAATATTCAGTTGGGAAGATTAAAATGGGACAAAGTACAAGTTTTCTTATGCCATTTAATTGAAACACTTTTATATTGCTTCTTCATTTATTGTTTACATACAACTGTTACATATACAGGACAGCGGGTATTTACATTCATTTAAAGTATACAGTACTTAAAATGATTGTCAACAGTAGAAATTTTAGATAAAATATATGTATTTGATTAATAAACAATGTCAGGTCTGCATCAACTATCTAAAGTTACATAGAAAATACTTTAAATAAGGAAAATATGTAATATTTACACAAACCTTACATAGTTTCCCACTTTTGTCAGAATACACAGGTATTTACAGAAATTGATTGACAAAGGACCTTATCATAACATCTAAGAAGAAATTGACGCAAAGCAACGCATGCGCTGTTCAAAAATCACTGATGATTCTCTACCTATAGAGTCACAATCCCAGGTGGTAATCATAACGTCATGTAACATCTGAAGCTTATTATCTAGAGGTTGTTCGTTCATTAATCTGCATTTTCTGCTGTCAAATCAGTCGACAAATCTATAGTTTACTGACGGTTCGGTCACCGCGCTGGACTTATTTCAAAACATTATCTGTCCTCCAGGTGACATTCATTTATTTTTGTCGCTACCACACGGCGCGTTCTGATAACAGGCCGAACGGCCCGGTAAAACTGCCACAGTTTTTAAAGTAAATTAGCCAAATTGCTCCCATTAACCTTGCCAAAACCTCAAACTTTTGTAATACTCTACTTGACTGAGGTCTATAATTCACTCGAACAAATTAGCATTTCTTACAGTATTTGGCTTAGCAAAAACGAAATACATCGATTTCAATTTTTGAAAGCGCTAGATGGAAATATATAGGTCCAATAAAAAAATAGTATCTTTAATTTTTGATATGAAACGGCCAAAAACCGTTACCCCCATGGTGTAACCTTGGTTATTTTTTAATGATGGATTAATTCCTTGGGAAACGTACCAGGCAGCTGTAAAAAATGGAATATGTGCCAAGACTTTGCATATTGCTGCTTTGATTGACAAGTTGTAAGTCTTGCGTTTAGAACGAGTAATATGTTAGGTGTTTCAGATATCGCTTAGTTATTTTTTATTCACAGTCTATATTGCTACAGAATGAGACCTTCATCCTGATTTTATACTTGAGCGTTATAAAATTATAAGTATCAATTAATGATAAATGGAATAAAAAACACGCTTTAATAGCAAATCAAACTAAAGACAAAAAAATAATTTTCAAAAATTCAATCATTGTAAAAAAGCGTGTGGAGCTTGTTACTAAATGTTAGAATAATTTTTTTAGTTACTATTTACAAAACTGGAGTTGTTACGAACATGTGTACCTAATTGCATTTTTGCTAAACTTGAATTTTTTTTTGTTTCTGAATGTTCAGTCTCGAAACGTCACCAAACGTACTTATAGTTATTTTCAATTTTTTTTTCTAAATTACAGAATTTTTCCAAGTTTAGAAATTTCCATTTTTTCAAGATTCTCAAATTTTTAAATCATTTTCCTAATTTCCAATTATCTTACAAATTTTCAAATCCGTTTTTTCCAGATTCCAAGATTCAACTTTTTAAAAATTTTTCAAACTTCATATTACGCGTATCTAAATCAATTAACACAAATTGTACAATGCAAAAATCAATTTTTTTCTCAAAATTCCCAAATTCTTGGCATTTTTAATTAAAATGTTTTGAACTTCTGAAAATTATTACAGTGAAAGCTCCCATAAGCGGACACTCACGGTTCCGTAACTTTTGTCCGCTTATGGGAGGTGTCCGTTTAAAAGAGAGTATGTAAGTATAGAGTATAAATAACGGGGTATATAATCATGAGGAAATGAGGTATTATAATCATGAGAAAAATGAAACAGAAACTCGCCACATTTTTAAAGTATGTATTTATGCTATATATCTATATAATATATGTACATATACGCATACAAAAACATAAATACTTCAATACATGGTACGAGAATTTAAAAAAAAACATTATTCTTTAGCTTGTTGAAAAAAGTTTAAAATGTTTGTCTGACGAAATTTCACCATCTTTTGCTGAAGGAGACAATTTTCGTAATAACTTTCTAAATTTTTCAAATGTTGAAATGCAGTGAAATCATCTTTAGCAAATTTTTTCAATATAGAAATATGATTTAGAGCTTCCCCATATGAAATTATCGTTTTTGAACCGCATAGTGAGTCCACCAGTTCCACTTCTTCTTCTGAGTCGTTTGGACTACCATATTCAAGTTGGCCTGGGCTTTCTACATCCAAATTCGAAAAGTTGCCAATGGCATTTTCTTCTGTTGTTATGTTATTGTCTATGGCCAGGAAATCATCTACTTTCTGGGGATCTGCTACTCCTAAATGTTTGGCATGCCGCAGTAACTGAGCAAGTGTCGCTAAGGGCAGATCGTCTTCAGCATCGCAATAATTTTGCTCAGCAAATTCTGAGCTACATTCACTTTTTCTGAATCCAGCTTTGCCAAAACAGTTTTTAATTGTAGAGGAATTTACTTTATTCCATGCTGTTTTTATAAAATACAAAGCTTATAACACATTGATAGACTTTGTAAGCTCAGATAAGCTTTGACCATCGTCAATTTTTGTTAAAATATGTTTTAAAATCAAGTGCCGATAATAACATTTAAAGTTCTGTATGACACCTTGATCCATGGGCTGACAAACAGAAGTTGTGTTTGGCGGTAAAAATATAATTTTCACATTTTTCATTTTCATATCACGAGGATGAGAGCATGCATTGTCTAAAAATAAAAGAACTTGCCTTTTTTGGATTCTCATTTTCCGGTCGAATTCGACTAACCACTCAGACATGATTTCTCGGGTCATCCATGCCTTTTTGTTGGATTTCCAAGTCGCTGGTAGATCCTTAATAGCAACGTTTTTTAAAGCACGGGGACGAGCCGCTTTCCCGATCACAATCAAATCGCATTTTTCACCGGCCATATTTGCACAGAATGAAATGGTTAGTCTATCTTTAGACAACTTTCCACCCACACATGTTTCTCCTTTAAAGGACAGAGTTTTGTCGGGCAATGCGCGAAAAAAAAGTCCACTCTCATCTGCGTTGTACACATCTTCTGGTTTGTAGCCAAGCAACATGGACGGAAGTTTCTCCAAAAATAGTGACACATCAACTTGATCTACTGCAGCAGCTTCGCCAGATATGCATTTGAAACTCACACTATGTCTCTTGCGCCACTTTTGCAGCCACCCGTCGGACGCACTGAAATTATTATAGCCCAAAGTAGTGGCGATTTCTTTAGCTTTCATTTTCACTAACGGCCCTGAGATTGGAATGTTCTGACTTCTAGCTTTCACAAACCACTCAAAACATGTTTTGTCTATAGCAAAACCTTCCTTTTTTAAAAAATCCTTCTTTTGATTTATATTAGTTCCTGATTGCCATTTGCTCCTGATATCTTCCTTATTTTTGGCAATTTCAGCTGCTTGCGTTTTCCCAATATTAAACCTCTTTGCCAAATGACGAACTGAAACACTTTCTCTGTCTAATACGTTAACAACTTCCATCTTTTCCTTTAACGAGAGCATCCTTTTTTTTGGTGCCATTTTACAGTTACAATAATAAAATACGTAACTCAATCAACTACGAATTTGCCTGAACTGAAGACAAGCCACAAGATTACATACAGGCTACCCAACGAAATGCGTAAATGGGGAATCACCTAATATAAATCGGGGAATTACCGAATTTTATGTATGTAGATATGTGCATTGCAATAGGCGGAACTAAAAAATCGTCCGCTTATGGGAGATTTTTTGATCACATACAGGAAAATCTGGTGTCCGCGTCCGTTTATAAGAGCGACCGTTTATCGGAATGCATTTAACATTGAAAATTGATGGCTGAAATTCGGTTCTAGGAACTTTGTCCGGTTAAAAGAGATGTCCGCTTATAGGAGCTGTCCGCAAGGAGAGCTTTCACTGTATATGGAGATATCGACGCGCGAACATTTATTTGCCGTTTCTCTGCTTTTTGGTTATTTCAGCCCATAGTGGAAATATGGTATAGGTTGTTTGAACATTCTGAAATATATGCAACCAGGATGTCTTCTATGGTTGCATATTTGCTAACAACACTTTGTAGCTAGAATATATCTGATCCGTACTAGGTTCCACTTTTTTCCATTCGGTTCTCATTTAGTGTAGCTTCTGGTTTACATATTCTGTGATAACATTGATCTGTCGAGTAGTACTGATGAATGGAACAATCGATTTAAATTCTTAGTGGTATGTTGCAAATGAAAGGTGTAATTGGTTATGGATTGTCGATAGTTTGTTTTACAGATACACAATCTAAATATTTTTTTAACAGTTGGTAATTTTTGCAAGTGAATAGGGATCATCCAGAATTTCAACGTATACATTCAATCTAATTTGATTTAGAAGATGCCTTAACGAAGTTTTGGAAAATCCTTGAATATACATGGACTGTAAAGATATATTTCTACATAGTAATTTTTCTACTCAAGTAATTTTATGGAATACTGTTTTGCAATTTTTATCAGTACTTTTTTTATGATTTAAGATGATTATTATTATTGTATAAGGAGATAGATATTTTATATTTTTATAGCATTTTCATTTTTTACCATGTTGTTACCAATATTTTCATCCACAGTTGGTTTACTTTCTTACAGGTTTATTATTTTTCAATTCAATATAAGATTAGTTATAAAAACGAAACGTGTGTTTTGAATTTTTTTAATAATGTGGATCATGAGAGTTATAAATATATTACATAAAAATACACTTTTGGTTTCGCTCTTTTACCTTGGAACATTCCTCACTCAATTATTGGGTAATAAAAAAATTGGTGCCTTATCCCTTCTTGGTAGACTTGCCTGCACAATTTTACGAGAACTAAGTCGCCTCTAAAGTACCAGAGGACTTAACGATGTACTAAAAATAACGTGAACGCATAAAATATGTGTGACCTTGACCATGACCTTCCGGAACAAATCAAAATTTACAAAGGAAGCTTCTCATTTTTGTGCTGCAAATGAAAGAAACAGGAATTTTTACGTTCAAATGTGACCTTGACCTTAAATATTCAAGTTTGACACGGCCTTGAGTACAGTCGGACCCAAACTTTCCTGCTTTTTCTATTTCCATTATAAACAAAAAAGTTGTCCTTTGGAAATGTTGACTTGACCTTGAAGGTCATTTTTGGGGCATCCGCACAACTGCCCTGTGGAGCATTTTAGATGGAGCTAATTGATTCCGTACGTCTCTTGTTTTGACCTTGAGGGCAATGGTGAAGGTCATGACCTTGGAAGGTCACCACCAACTTGAAACTTTTCTTCTAGAATTCGCACTGTTCGAAATATTTAGTTGGGAAGATTAAAATGGGACAAAGTACACGGTTTCTTATGCCATTTAATTGAAACACTTTTATATTGCTTCTTCATTTATTGTTTACATACAACTGTTACATATACAGGACAGCGGGTATTTACATTCATTTAAAGTATATAGTACTTAAAATGATTGTCAACAGTAGAAATTTTAGATAAAATATATATGTATTTGATTAATAAACAATGTCAGGTCTGCATCAACTATCTAAAGATACATAGAAAATACTTCAAATAAGGAAAATATGTAATATTTACACAAACTTTACATAGTTTCCCACTTTTGTCAGAATACACAGGTATTTACAGAGATTGATTGACAAAGGACCTTATCATAACATCTAAGAAGAAATTGACGCAAAGCAACGCATGCGCTGTTCAAAAGTCACTGATGATTCTCTACCTATAGAGTCGCAATCCCAGGTGGTAATCATAACGTCATGTAACATCTGAAACTTATTATCTAGAGGTTGTTTCGTTCATTCATTCTGCTGTCAAATCAGTCGACAAATCTATAGTTTACTGACAGTTCGGTCACCGCGCTGGACTTATTTCAAAACATTATCTGTCCTCCAGGTGACATTCATTTATTTTTGTCGCTACCACACGGCGCGTTCTGATAACAGGCCGAACGGCCCGGTAAAACTGCCACAGTTTTTAAAGTAAATTAGCCAAATTGCTCCCATTAACCTTGCCAAAACCTCAAACTTTTGTAATACTCTACTTGACTGAGGTCTATAATTCAATGGAACAAATGAGCATTTCTTACAGTATTTGGCTTAGCAAAAACGAAATATATCGATTTCAATTTTTGAAAGCGCTAGATGGAAATATATAGGTCCAATAAAAAAATAGTATCTTTAATTTTTGATATGAAACGGCAAAAATCGTTACCCCCATGGTGTAACCTTGGTTATTTTTTAATGGTGGATTAATTTCTTGGGAAACATACCAGGAAGCTGTAAAAAATGGAATATGTGCCAAGACTTTGCATATTGCTGCTTTCATTGACAAGTTGTAAGTCTTGCGTTTAGAACGAGTAATATGTTAGGTGTTTCAGATATCGCTTAGTTATTTTTTATTCACAGTCTATATTGCTACAGAATGACACCTTCATCCTGATTTTATACTTGAGCGTTATAAAATTACAAGTATCAATTAATGATAAATGGAATAAAAAACACGCTTTAATAGCAAATCAAACTAAAGATAAAAAAATAATTTTCAAAAAATTCAATCATTGTAAAAAAGCGTGTGGAGCTTGTTACTAAATGTTAGAATAATTTTTTTAGTTACTATTTACAAAACTGGAGTTATGAAAATGTGTACCTAATTGCATTTTTGCTAAACTTGAATTTTTTGAGCTCGATTGCTGCTGAATCTGTTTTTTAGTTTTTTCAAACTATAATTTGTTTCTGAATGTTCAGTCTCAAAACGTCACCAAACGTACTTATAGTTATTTTCATTTTTTCTTTGCAAATTAGGAATTTACAATTCTTAAATTTTGTTTCAATTTTCAAACTCGAATTTCTTTCCATATTTTAACATTTCCATTTTTTTTTTCTAAATTACAGAAGTTTCGAAATTTCCATTTTTTCAAGATTCTCGAATTTTTAAATTATTTTCCAAATTTCCAATTATCTTACAAATTTTCAAATCCGTTTTTTCCAGATTCCAAGATTACGCGTTACCCATTTTTAATTAAAATGTTTTGAACTTCTGAAAATTATTATTATATATTTATTTCCAAATTTTCTAATTATTTTCCAAATATCTGAATTTTTCAATTGTTTTTCAAAATTTCAAATCCAAATTACAAAATTATTTTTTTTTTAAAAATCCCAATTTTTTTTTCGCAATTATTGAATTCAAATTTCGCTTCAAATTTTAAAATATCCGAAAAAAATTTCATATTTCGAAATTTTCAATTTGTTTCAAAATTCTCAAATTTTCAAATTATTTTCCAAATTCTCAAAATATTTTCAAATCCGAATTATTTCAAAATTCAAAAGTGTCAAATTCTTCATTACGCATATCTAAATAAATTGTAAAATATATACCCGTTTAACATTCAGCAAGAGAAATGGTCAGACGCAGTAACAAAATGTTTGTCATTTCCTTCCAAATGCCAGTCTTGCATGAAAATCAATCTATTGAATATTTCATGCGAGTTTGTTTGCAATTCTGGTGGAATATCTAGTTATAGTCCTTTCACTGAAACAACGCAGTTACGTCATACTTCGTAAATTTGAATGCCAGCCTTAATGCAAAATAGACCCTAAATTGGTACGTACAGTTTGAATTGCCCGGGTACATTTATGCTGGTAACAGTTTTCTGTATTGTGACATTGTTGTGACTGATTTTCCATTCAAATTTCTGAAGAAGTTTGGTTTGGTTTGGTTTGGCAACACTGCAATGTATGCAAATGTCCCCAGGTTGCTTGGGTGCTTTGTGTGGTTGTAAAATAATTGTTTACAGTTATAAATGTACGTTTGATTGTGCTTTTATGTTCGTCGGCGATTGAAACTGGTTCTTGGATATGAAAACCATGCGTCTTGAAGGGAAATAACCAAAACAAAAATTATAGGTTAAGAATGTAACAGTGAATATTTCATTCGCTTAAGTTGGCTAACCTTGCTCATTTGAATCGAGGAAACAGCACCGTCTTGCAACTGCAAGTGATTTGATCCATTCGTGTTGCAGACTAGCAATTGCAAAAAACGGTGTTTACCAATTTTGTTGATATGTTGCTGACAATTCTCCGGAGGATAGCGAGAAATGATCTTAAATTCGCTCCTACTCCCCTTACATTCACATAAAACGGTTGTGGTAGCATGGTAGAAAATTGTCAATGTGTGGCAACACCGCTATCTGAAAGGCTGTCGAAGGTACCCTCGAGTTCTGTGCAGTGTTGCCGAACCTACCGATTTTTTAGTATTTCTTTTCTTTTTAAAACAATTCAGATATTTCCAGATTTTTTACCCAAAATAAAGCTAAAAAAATTAATTGTATGTAGTTTTATGCCCATAACAATCATACATATGCATACCTACACTTAGACATCATATTCGATGGAGGAATCATCTTTGTCGGCACCATAGTAGCTGTCTTATTACGACACTTGTTTGTTCATGATAGGTAATATTTGAAAGAGTTTTTGTGCAGTATTTCCTCGTCATTTGGCATGGGAAAAAATCCTTTCAAATAAAATAGTTACAAAAAAATTAGTGTCGAGAGAATCAAGATAAATGTCAAATTTTTAGTGGATTTTTGACATTAACTAGAAAACTATTTGATTTCAAAAATATATAATCTGTGACTGTTTTAAGGCTCAAAAAGTTGCAAAGGTTCATTCATCATCTTTTATGGAAGAAATAAAAAACATTTTAAACGCTTTTTTAGCAAACAAAAAATTGAAGCGGAACATTGTTTTCCTGGCTCGACCCGTATTCTCGTTGAGTAACCCTCTTCGCATGTTTTTACCAATTTCCCTAGAACTTGGTTCGATTTTGCCAAACTGCCTGGATTAGCATTAGTAAATGGAAGTTCCTCATATTCACATTCTCCTACAAACATTTAATAACATTACTCGACCTAGCGCTATATTTATACATTTTCAACAATTTGACCCTCCCTACTACATATCACCACTGAAAACATACTTAAGCCTTAATACTAAGTAACATCAAAACAGTCTTGAAATAACTTACAGGAAGGAAAGTATATAGTCATTGTTAAATCTTAATATATACTTAGGCCTTATAAACTACGTCAGACGAATCATCAAAATTACGACAATTCTTAAAAACTACTTAAAGGTTCTTGTTACCATGTGATATTACAAAATCCTCACGCTGCCGGTGTGTGAGTATTACACTATCACTTAAATTTTTTGCGGAGATCTGTTGTTTCAGTTGCTATAATTAATTCCAAATCAATGCAAAGAAAGGATATTGGTCAATTTTACCCAATCCGGGGCTTAAATGTAACTGAATTCCGACTGCTGAAGTTAATTTGTATACCGCTTTGCTGTCACATTATGGTTTCGCCATGCAAATTTTGACGCCTGATTATCTGATTCAATTTTGTATATCAGTATTATTATCGCCGTCATTTATACATGGTATGCAATTCAGTTAGAGTCAGGCCTCAGCTTTGGCAACAGCTCGTTGAATATATGAATAATATGGAATTTACCCGCTTAAAATATTGTATTCTAAGCAATGACTCTGCCTTAGCTTATGTCTGCGCTTGTAGCGATGCTTCCTTGTGTGATATACGCTGTGATCAGTGTATACATCGTGTAAACATCATTGTATCTGGTATACAATACTAAAGTATACAAT